GTGGCATCCTCACAGCTCACTGCAGCCTCAAACTCCTGGGCTCACGTGATCCTCCTGAGTAGCTGGGACTACAGGCGCACGCATGACCCCCGCCCGGCTAATTTTTCTATTTTTAGTAGAGATGGGGTCTTGTTCTTGCTCAGGCTGGTCTTGAACTCCTGAGCTCAAGCTATCCTCCTGCCTTCTCCTTGTTCTATAGTAAATATTTCCATAATCAAAATGCTATAAATCCTATTTAATGGCTTTACGTTTTCAGAATCAACCTGGGAAAAAGCAGAGAAGCCTTAATTATAGTTAGAAAACAAAATCTAAAAACTATAATCTTAATGCTATTAACAAAAAAATAGTCGGAGCCCTCTTATTCAATGCCATCGGGATCACTGGTGAACAGCAGAGAATCACTAAAACAGCCGCAGACTAAGCTTAAACATTTAATTTTAACTTACATGCTACAAATGAACATTCATTGGCCAATTTCTAGGTGTATGGCTAACAGCTTTTCATTGGGTATAAATCTGCTGACTGGAGTTTCCCATGATTTTTTTCTTTTTATAAACCACATCTATAACACATGACCTAAAATTTCCAGTACCAGCTTCTTTAAAGTGGACCAAGAACATAAACACACTCTTGAAGTATCTGAGTACAGGACCCTTCTGTATTTTTAATATATTTTTTTTTATAACTGTCTCACCCTAAAGTGTTAACAATTTTTTTTGGTAACTTTTCTTTTGTCTTTCATTCTTTCTTTTTTGTTTTTGTTTTTTGAGACAGAGTCTGGCTCTGTTGCCCAGGCTAGAGTGCAGTGGCGTCAGCCTAGCTCACAGCAACCTCAAACTCCTGAGTCCAAGCGATCCTCCTGCCTCAGCCTCCCGAATGGCTGGGACTACAGGCGCTCACCTCCAAGCCTGACTAGTTTTTTCTATTTTTAGTAGAGATGAGGATATCACTCAGTGTGGTACTGGTATCAAGGGCAGACATGTAGATCAATGGAATAGAAATGAGAGTCCAGAAATAAGTGCTTTATTTATGGTCAATTAACTTTCAACAAGGGTGCTAAGATGAATAAATGGAGAAAAAAATAATCCTTTTAACAGCTGGTAGAACTGGATATCCACATGTAAAAAAATGAAGTTGGGGGCCGGGCACAGTGGCTCACACCTGTAATCCTAGCTCTCTGGGAGGCCAAGGTGAGAGGATTGCTTGAGCTCAGGAGTTCAAGACCAGCCTGAGCAAGATTGAGACCCTGTCTCTACTAAAAATAGAAAAATTAGCCAGGCGTCGTGGTGCACGTCTGCAGTCCCAGCTACTTGGGAGGCTGAGGCAGGAGAATCACTTGAGCCCAGGAATTGGAGGTTGCAGTGAGCTATGATGATGCCACTGCACCCTAGCCGGGGTGACAGAGAGAGACTCTGTCTAAAAAAAACCCAAAAACCCCAAAATGGACCAAAAACCTAAAGGTAAGAGCCAAAACTGTAAAATTCTTAGAAGAAAATATAAGAGTAAATCTTCATGACCTTGGATGAGGCAATTTCTTAGATATGACACCAAAAGCACAAGCAACAAAAGAAAACACAGATCAATTGGACATCATCAAAATTAAAAACTTTAAAAAGTACACCATCAATCAAGTGAAAAGACAACCCACAGAATGGGAGAAAATTTTTGCAAATCACATATCTGATAAGGCACTTGTATCTAAAATGAAGAAAATACTCCTAAACTCAATAATATAAAAAGACAAATGAACCCAATTTTAAAATGAGCATAAGAAAAATAGTTAATCCTCCCGAGAAAATATGCAAACGGCCAAGAAGCACATGGAAAGATGCTCAACATTATTAGTAATCAAACCGCAAATGAAAACCACGAGATATCTCTTCCAGCTCACTAGGATGGCTATAATCAAAAAGACAAATAATAAGTGTTGGAGAAGACGTGGAGAAACTAGGACTCTCACACACTGCTGGTGGGAATGTAAAAAGTCACTTAGGAAACAATCTGGCAGTTCTTCAAAAGGTTAACCATAGAGTTACCATATGACTCAACAATTCCATTCCTACTATATACCCCAGAGAAATGAAAATATATGTCCACACAAAAACTTGGCCACAAATGTTCACAGCAGCATTATTCACAGTAGTTAAAAAGTAGAAAGACTCAAATGGCCATCAGAGGATTAATGGATAAAGAAAAGGTGGTATGTCCATACAATCAATTCTTATTTGGCAATAAAAAGGAATTAAGTTCTTATTCATTCTACAACATGGACGGATCAAGAAAACGTGATGCTAAGTGAATGAAGCCAGACATAGAGGCCACATGTCATATGATACAATTTATATGAAATTCCCAGAATGACATTTTGGGCTGGATGATAAAACGAACCCCCCACCAAATGAAATTCCCAGAAAAGGCAAATCCCTAGAGATAGAAAGTAGGTTAGTGGTTGCCTAAGGTTGGGGGCGCGGTTAGAGAGAAGGCAGAGAGATGGGGAGTGACTGCTAATGAGTACAGGGTTTCTTTACAGAATGATGAAAATGTTCTAAAATTGCGGTGATGGTTGCACAATTCTGAATATACTAAAAGCCATTGAACTGAATATTTTAAATGGTTTAATTGTATAGATAAGAATTTTATCTCAATAAAACTGTTAAAAAAAATCAAATGGGGCCCATCAGGAGAACTGAAAATCAGAAACTACAAAACTATTATTTTACTCTGCAGCAATAAATAAACAGTAAAAAAACAACTGTAAACACCAACTTTTATTGAGTGATTAGCATGTAGTAGGCACTGTGCTAAGAGTTTCAGCACTGAGTTTCAGTCTTCTCAAAAAAAAAAAAAAAAAGCCTTCCGTGACAGAGACTGACAGTGTCCATTCTCCCTTGCTAATAAAACCCCTGAATTCTAGGTCGATACCTAGCTACGCAGCCTCCCTCCAAGCTGAGTGTGGCTGTGAGAATAAATTCTGGTCCCTAGGAATTGAGTGGGAGTGTGCGCAACTTAGGAGCTGTGCTCTTCAGAGGAATGTGGGGGGGGTGCCTTTCTTTGTCCTGAAGGGATGGCTGGAGCTTCAGCAGCATGAGCCTGTGAGTCTACGGGGAGCAGGACCTCCACACCTGGACTGCTGCCATCAAATTTCTTTATGCCACTGTTACGTTTATTCCTGTTCTATCAGTCCTAACATCCTACTACAGTATACCTCCTAACAACCCTATGAAATAGCTACTGCTATTGTCTTATTTTAAAAATGAGAAAACAAAACTCTGAGAGGTGAAGTGACCTGCCCTGGATCTCACAGTTGATTAGCGACAGAACTGAGGTTTGAAGCCAAGTCTCCTGACACCAGAACCTGCCATTAAGGATAATTATTCTATAGGCAAGAATGTCTTGCTGTCCACTAGGGTTCGGGAAACCTTAAGTCCCCGGCCAGCCATGCAGTGCTCACCTGATATCCTGTGTCTGGGAGACCTCGGGCTTCAGGTGCACACTCACGGGCACCCGTTGCTCTGCCAGCCAGATGGCACACTGCATAGCCACCTGTTCATCCCCGCCTGCCACTGCCCGGGTCAGGCTCAGGGCCATCTCCTCTGCTGGAAACCAACACAATCAGAGCAGGTTAGCACAGAGTTTATTTTACAGGAGCTGGGGGCAAAGGGGTGGGAAAGGAGGTGATCCTTAGTACATGCTCTGCTTTCTCTCTGTCTTCCTGGTGAACTCCTACATATCCTTCAGCACCCAGACTTAAAGTCCCTTTCTCTGGGAGGGCTTCTCTGACACTCCCCCACTCCTCCCCACCCTAGGCCCATCTGGTTCCATTTTTCTTTCATACTCACAGGGTCCCCATATTTCTATTCATTTATCTGACAAGCATTTACTAAGCTCCTACTGTGTGCCACCTACTGTTCAGGAACTGGGGTCTGACAGTGATTAAGGTAAACAGGGTCTCTTTTCTCATTCACCTCCCTGCCCAGGAGGGAGACAGCCAATTAAGTTTAACAAGAGAGAAAAAAAGCCAGATTGTGACCCTTGCTGGGCAAGGAGACTGGGAAATACCTCTGGGAGGAGGTACCACTGAAGCTGACTCCCAAAGGAGGAGAAGCCAGACATGTCGAGACCGGGGGAAGAGTATTCCAGGTGGAGAGAAAATGCAAAGGCCTTGGGCAAGAAATGGCTGGACAGGAACAGAAGGAAGCCAGCGGGGCTCCAGCAGAGTAAGCAAGGAGGTGACTGGGGGAGCCCGGAGGTCAGGGGCCAGCAGGGTGTTGTGGGCTGCCCAGGGGCTCTGGGCTTTGTTCCAAGAACACAGAGGAGCATGGGAGGGTTTGGAGCAGGCCATGATGTGACTCATGTTCTACAACGCTGGGTGCAGGGGGCAAGGGAAGAGGCAAGGACCTCTGCTACTCGGGTCAACTGAGGTCTGTCTCCCCACCAGCCTGGGCAGTCTCCAAGTTCAATGCCCTGTGTCCTCTGGGAACCTTCCACCCCCATCTCAGCACAAAGCTGCTCCAAAAGGAGGCTTCGGGGCCCCGAAAAGCCTCTGGAAGCCCATGGGCTTCAAGGGCAGAAACCGAGAGGCAGGGAGGCAGAGGGACCCACTTCCCACCAGAAGTCCCCCAGCTACCTCGAGTCTCTGCCCACCTTTCTTGGTCTTCTCGTCCATCTGGCGTGGCTGCGCCCATCCCCCCGGGGGGGCTGCGGCTCCAGGGAAATGCTACCTGCGGGTCACCTGGGAGAGGCAGGCGACCAGGAACAACTCAGCCCCGGCCCGGTGGCCTCTGGCGCGGCCCAAGTCCTCTCTGTGCCTCGGTGTCCCCGGCGGCAGTCGGCAGCCTTACACCGCCCAGGGACCGGGACCCCGCGTGGGACGGTGAAAGGGCAGGGGCACCGAGCTGAGTCAGCAATGGGCGAAAGAGGAAACGGGACGGACACGGGGGGGCGGGGGAAGGACGGTCCGACGCCGCACAGCGGGGGCGCTCCACCTGGCCGGAGGGGCCCCACTTACGGGGGCGCCCCCGGCGTCCCGGGTTTCAACCTAACTCCCCTCCCGGTCCGCCCCAGTCTTTCGGAAGCGGGAGGGGAGCGGCTTTGGCGGAAGAGAAAGTGAAAGTGGCGGCCCGGAAGTGGGGCGGGGCGGAGGGGGCCGGAAAATTGTCGTCTCATCCGGGACCCCCCAGCGCGGCCGTCCCAGCGGCAGTGGACGCCGGGCGTGGAATGACAGCCGTCCCGGGCGCTCAGTCACCCCGGCCCTGAGGCTGCCCGCCGCCTCCGAACCCCAGACCCGCTCACCCGCCGGTCCGCGCCGCCGCGGGAGGGGCCGGGCCCGGGGAGGGGTGGCTGGGCGGCGGGGACGCGGCCGCGTCCGGCAGCGCTGGGCGGATGAGGAGCGTCTGGGGGGCCCGGCGCGGCCTGGCCCGAACCAGCTCCCCGAGCCTCGGGCACCCCAGTGGGCAGGCCCAGTCCATGCCTCCGTTTGCACATGAAGAAAGAGAGGCTCTGCTTGTTTATGGCCGGCCCGAGGCCACACAGCCGGGGTTTGAATCCAGGCCTGGCAAGCTCAAAACCCACCCCCACCCCACCCCCGTTTCTCACCTCAGCCAAGCTGGGCGCTGCCTCTGCCTGTTCTTTGAGCCATTGGCGAAGTTTGCATTCGCGTGGCAAAGGCTGGGAGCCCTTTGCATCCTCCAGCCCCCTCCCCCCTTTCTCCTCGTCCCCATAGAGCAGAAGATTCTGTGGGGTCCACCCGCAGAATAGATCCAGAATCTGTCACCCCTCACCTCCTCCATGCTCCATCCTTTCAGGGGTCCTGAACCAGCCTCCACAGGGAGCTCCTTGTGTCTCATTTTGCCCCCTACAGCCCACTTCCACCCCGCTGGACAGTATAAGTCAAGCCCCTGCCGCTCCCTGACTCGGATACTCCCCCGCTCACTCAAAATAAAAGCAGAAGTCCCTCCCAAGGCCTGAAAACGACCCTCAGCCTCTGCCTTTGTCCCTGACTGCTCTCCCCTTGGCGCTCTCCACTCTCCCGGCTCCTGGAATAAATCAGTCTCATTCCCACCTCAGGGCCTTTGCATTTGCCATAACCCAAATATCTGCATAGCTGCCTCCTTCCCTTTGTGTTAGCCTTTACCTGAAAGTCTTCCCTAACTACCCTATCCGAAATTTCACAGACACACGTGTATCCAGCATGTCATATCCTCCTTCCTGGCTTCATTTTCTTTTTCTCCTCAATATATATTACTGTCTAACACAGTAGTGTATTTATTCTATCTATTTATTTTGTTTATGGTCTGTTTTCCTCTTCTAGCGGGCAAGGACTTTTGTCTGTTTTGCTCACTACTGTTTTCCTGGTGTCTAGAACAGTTCCTAACATACAGTAGGTGCTCAAGGACTATATGTTGAATGAATGAATGAATCTCAGACTTTTATCTGGGATCATTTTCCTTTTGCCTGAAACATATCCCATAAGTACTCCCGGCCTATAAATTAAACTATATCATAGGTATGTATCTATAGGAAAAACATGGATGTGTATAGGATTTGGTACTATCTTTAGTTTCAGGCTTCCACTAAGGGTCTTGGACTATGTCCCCCACTGATAAGGGAGGGCCACTGTATCTTGAAAAAAAGGCCCCAAATGATTTTGAGCTCCTCCCGTGAAGAGAGAGAATCTATTTTCCAGCTTCCTGAATTGGGCTATGTGACCTGTTTTGGCCATTGGGACCTTTGCTAATGTGACACAAGCCAGCTTGCACATTGGGACTTGTCCTCTCTTGTTGCCTTTGGAAACCTCAAGACCACCACAGGAAGGAGGCTGAGCCTGTGGGAGGATGAGGCCACGTGGAACAGGGAAGAGCTGTCCAGCCAAGGCAGCCGTGAGTGACCCAGCCGAGCCCAGCCCAAAATTGCTAACCCAGAGAAGCATAAACCACCAAGCTTGGGGGGTTGTAATATAGCAAGCAGACTGACACAGCCTGGTTACTACTGGAAAGTATTTTTCCTCCTGTCCCTTGTGGCAAATGTTCCTTAGCCATAGTAATTACCACTAACTGCCTACCAGACAAACTTCGAATCTCAAAGACTTAACACAAAAAACTTTATTTCTTGCTCAGTGAAATCCAGCATGAATCTAGTGATCCTCCTCCATCTTGTGGCTAAAGGAACTGGTGGCCTCAGGATAGGTGTGCCAGGGGAAGAGAGGGCTGGAGGCCCACCAGCTCTCAATTGCTTCAGCCCAGAAGTGACCCTTCTGGATTTCAGAAACTTCCACACAAGAAGTGACCCCAGCTCCTGCCAATCACTTCCACACACACCATTGGTCAGAACCAGACATGTGACTGAAAGCGGGGCTGGAAAATGTAGGGGAGCACCTGAAATGTTTGGATGCCTGTCTTTGCCACAAAGAACTAACCACTTGTATGGTTATCTGTTTAACATCTGTCTGTACAGTTAGACTGAATCCTTGAGGGCAGGGACCACATCTGTCTTGCATGGTGCTGGGCCTATAGCAGGCACTCAGCAATCATTGCTGAATTGCAAAGTGAAGGGATAACCAGGCAGGCCACAACACACAACAGGATCTTGTGTGTTTAGCTCCCAGTGGCAGAGAAAATTCTCAACTGAATTTCTAACAGTCCCTCCCCTTCAGTAACATACATGCATTACATTTGATATTGTAAAACTCTTATACGGTGATGACTAAAAGAACACCAGTGGAACACCAAAAATCTCGCTAATTAGAGCCAGGGGCGTGGCAACACCCATTACTTGATAAGAAAAGAGTGGATTTTACACCTTCTTTATGGGGCAGTTTTCATGCGGCTGCATCTGAGCAGGCTTGTCAAAATTTCCTGCTTCAAGGCAAAACCAGGTAAGTCTTTTTCTCTCTTGTGAGGTCTTGGATGAGTCTTCTGCTCCCTCTAAACCTCATTTTTCTTATTTGTAAAATGACAAGAGCGTCGACCTCGTCGGGTTGTCGAGAGGCGTAAATGAGCCTCTCTGTGTAACGTGGTGAAGGGCTGGCACAGTACCTGTCCCGAGGCAGCCCTGGGCAATGCTGGGTGCACAGAGACGAGGCCAACTCATCCCTGTCTGTATCAGTTAGCTTTTGCTGTATAACAAAACACCCCAAAACTTAGTGGCTTAAAACAAGAATGGTTCTATTTAATTCATGACGTTGTGGGTGAGCTGGGCAATTCTAGTCTGGGCGGGCTGGGCTGAGCTCCACGTCTGTAGTCAGCTGGAGGCCGCATGCTGCCAGATGATCCAGGACTGCCTTGCAGATCCGAAGTGGGCAGGCAGTTGGCCAGGCCACCTCCCTTCTTCTCCACATTCTTTTTCCTACTATCCCCTCCCTCTCAGAACTTGATTTTGTCCAGGTCTCACTCCCCCTCCTGCATGAAGTATTAACTTCCTCCAGGGAGGCTGCCCCTGCCTGCAGCTGGAGGACAGCCATGATTAATGGGAACGCATTTTCCTTGCTGGTGATTGGTCAGTCGAGGGCATGTGACTCAATCTGGCCAATGAGATGTGTGGTAAAGTCTATTAGCCATGCTTCTGGGAAAGCATCCCCCATCCCCAGGAAGAGCTATGGGAACAGCAACTAACTCTCATTGTGGGCTTGTGCCGGGTACTGCTTGTTCCAAGTGCTTCACATAAAACAACTGATTCAGTTTTCATGAGTTGGGTACTATTATTATCCCCCATTTTACAGAGGAAGAATCTGAGGCATAGAGTGGTTCGGAAACTTGCCAAGTGTCAAACAGTTAGTGAGTGCTGAGCCAGGATTTAATTCCGGGCAGCCTGACTCCAAGTTCTCAAGTACTACAATGCCTCACTAGTCGTGTGACTGGAAAGGACTAGGCAGAGGGGTCAAGTGCCTCCTCTGGTCATGGACCTTGCTACTGTGACATCTGGGACTGCTGTAGCCATTGCGCCAGCAATCTCCAGGGACGACAAAGAGACAGAAGGAGCCTGGTGAGCCTTGTCCCTGCAAACAGCCCTGAGGGCTGAATGAACCGCACTGAAGCCCACACCATCTGTTGACTTCTTGCTTTGTGTGAAACCTATTTCCTTCTTAGTTAAGCCACCTTGACTCAGAAAAGTATCCCAACTGAGAGCCACTGCCTCCAGAAGAAACGGAGAGTGTGGAAAGACCCACTGGGCTGCAGGGAATCTGTCTGTTCTCACAAACCACTCAGCTGAGGCTGGGACACAAGGCCTCTGGCCTTTCACCATGGGGACAGTTTTGAAGGCAAGGAAAACTGGTAAGAGATAGTAGGAGAGGATAGAAGAAATCTGGAGAAATAAAAGTATTTCATAATTCTCCTTTATTAGGCACAGGTAAAAATATATATTCATGGTATCCAAAACCCACAGTATTGATCTGGACCCAAATGCACCCACAGAACAGGGCCTGGGACTTTCCAGGTGGCCACGGGAGAGACCCTGCCTAATTCTGTCCCCC